ACAAATCCTAGCATGTTTAAGGCGTCTACTAGTAGTTGTTGTTATTGGACTTCGTTACTGCAAGGGATTCACTCTTGGTATTTGATGCTTTAGGCAAAGATTACCAGGCTTCCTGGTTATTTCGCAGATGAAAATTGGTGATTTTTGGTAAATCCTGGATTTTGGTGTAGTTTGCCTGCGAAGCTGGTGTGTTACGCCGAAGGGCGTTTATACCGGCTATACTCCGGGTGTTACTTAAGCTACTAGCGTTACATGATTTTGTCCCTGCCATATCTGCTGACGATTTCCGTACTGGGTGCGATTTGGGAAGCGATATTGATAACAACGCGGTATGTGTATAAAATAAAGTGGGATTTATCAAACTATGAGACTTATCTATCGCCTAAACCAGTCTAACCCTCATCGGTAAATCCCACTTTTCAAGTGTTAATGCCACACTGATTTTATTCTATGGATGACATCCTCGCGCTCATCAAATTTCGTCCATTTCCAAAAGGAATGTTCTGTGACCAATGCTATACTGTATTGCTCTTTTAGTCTCGTTTTTGTCCTTTAATGTTAATCCAATTTGCCTCAAATGGGCACGAAAATTTCATTTTGTGGCGAATGATTGTATAAGAGTAAGGGTTAGAGGATGGCGGTCAGTACCAAGAACAGGATAGGTGTGTTTTCCTGTGTGTGGATAGCGTTCAGCACCAAGGAAAGTCTAAGTGTTTTTTCCAGTGTGTGGATAGCGTTCAGCACCAAGGAAAGTCTAAGTGTTTTTCCTGTGTGTGGATAGCGTTCAGCACCAAGGAAAGTCTAAGTGTGTTTTCCTGTGTGTGGATAGCGTTCAGCACCAAGGAAAGTCTAAGTGTTTTTCCTGTGTGTGGATAGCGTTCAGCACCAAGGAAAGTCTAAGTGTTTTTCCAGTGTGTGGATGGCGTTCAGCACCAAGGAAAGTCTAAGTGTGTTTTCCTGTGTGTGGATGGCGTTCAGCACCAAGGAAAGTCTAAGTGTGTTTTCCTGTGTGTGGATGGCGTTCATCACCAAGGAAAGTCTAAGTGTTTTCTTGTGTGTGGATAGCGTTCAGCACCAAGGAAAGTCTAAGTGTTTTTTCCTGTGTGTGGATGGCGTTCAGCACCAAGGAAAGTCTAAGTGTGTTTTCCTGTGTGTGGATAGCGTTCAGCACCAAGGAAAGTCTAAGTGTGTTTTCCTGTGTGTGGATGGCGTTCAGCACCAAGGAAAGTCTAAGTGTGTTTTCCTGTGTGTGGATAGCGTTCAGCACCAAGGAAAGTCTAAGTGTTATGACAAACTTAAACTGTTCTCCAACTCAAAATTTGACTCACCAGAAATTTTCGACTGAATCACTCAGTCTTCCTCAGCTATCTGACCCAAATGCTGTGGACACGTAATTTTTCCCACGTGTGACGTCAGCAAAGGGTCAAAGGTTGTCTGAAGTCGATATTGCCCCCCGTCCTGGTTGAGCGATGGTTGAAGTGCCCTGATGTATATGGCCTCTTTTATGCCTCTCTTGAAGTAATCCTGTTCGGTATCCAAGATTCTGACCCCCTCTAGATCCACTGTGTGTCCCGGTGATTCTATGTGGATGTGCTGTGACACCTCAGATGCAACAGAACTGGGTCGTCTATGTTCTAGAGCTAATACCATCATCAGTGATCCTGCGGATAGAATTGCCGAGATCGATCACGTCACAGAAGCCCTAAAGAAGTGTGGCTACCCTCAGTGGCTCATTAAGAAAGCCTCCGAGCCTAGACAGCCCCGGTCTAAACCCCACGATAGTCAGGGAACGGGAGGGAAAAACAGAAAAAAAACTTGTAGTCCCCCATACGTAAAGGGTGTTTCTGAGCCCCTACGTAGAATCTTTGCTGCACATGGAGTGAGTACCTGTTTTAGACCTCATCGTACGTTAAGACAGCTCCTTGTGGCACCTAAGGACAAAACTCCCAAGGAAGACAAGTGTGGGGTTATCTACCACATAAGTTGCCAGGGAAACACCAACAGAGGCCCCTGTCGGGAAACTTATATCGGGGAAACTGAGCGCTCACTTAAAACCATGGTTTCTAGAACATAGACGACCCAGTTCTGTTGCATCTGAGGTGTCACAGCACATCCACATAGAATCACCGGGACACACAGTGGATCTAGAGGGGGTCAGAATCTTGGATACCGAACAGGATTACTTCAAGAGAGGCATAAAAGAGGCCATATACATCAGGGCACTTCAACCATCGCTCAACCGGGACGGGGGGCGATATCGACTTCAGACAACCTTTGACCCTTTGCTGACGTCACACGTGGGAAAAATCACGTGTCCACAGCATTTGGGTCAGATAGCTGAGGAAGACTGAGTGATTCAGTCGAAAATTTCTGGTGAGTCAAATTTTTAGTTGGAGAACAGTTTAAGTTAGTCATAATGTAATTTACCAACTCAGATGAACTTTCATGCTGATGAAAGTCTCTATAAGTGTGTTTTCCTCTGTGTGGATGGCGTTCAGCACCAAGGACAAGTTAATGTGTTTTCCTGTGCTTGTATGTTCGGCGCTTAAGACAGCTATATCTACCTGTATGTGGATGATTTTCGTAGCCAGGGAAACATATTTTTAATCAAGAACTTGAAACACCTCAGAAACGTCCTTCCCTTTCACACGATTTTACACAAGAAAATGATTACTGTTGTGCTGCTGGGAAGGGCACGGTGTGCCGCGAAAATATACTGAATGTTGTCTTCAGAAGAGCTGGATTTCATTTTTACCGATATCGTTACGAAGGGCGCTGAAAAACGAGATCTATTTAGGTCAGCAGAACAACCTCAACCGCGTGAGAAACTCGCGCCATATTCCTAGTAATACGTTATGCACATCTGATAAACCAATCAGAGCGCAGTTTTTCCGAGATGAACCAATCAGAGCTTAAAACTCGCGGTAATACTTGCATGTAGAAGACGGCGTCCGCGACAGGACCATCAAAAAAATCCATTGTGTCTATAATGTTATGTACCGTCTGAAATGACGGATTCCATGTACAATCAAGCAGTCAATTCTTTCCTTCCCGTTACAAATATCATTGAACTCTCAAACATAGTAGGAAAGTCTATTCCACTATTGACAGGACCATCCTGTCAATAGTGGAAAACCCTGCAGTATTGACTGGACCATCCTATCAATAACAGAAAAAATGCACTGTTGACAGGATGATCTTGTCAATAGTGGAAAATTATCTGCTATTGACAGGGTGGTCCTGTCAATAACGCAAGTTTTTCCACTATTACTTTTCCTGTCAATATATACAGAAAAATTTGTACTATTGACAAGATGGTCCTGTCAATAACAGAAAAGATATACTGTTGACAGGACCATCCTGTCAATGGTGCATTTATTTCTGTTATTGACAGGATGGTCCTGTCGCGGTCGCGTTGTACAGGTGGTCACCTTGTACAGGTTGCTTAATGCTTGCGTCAATGGGGAAAACTATATATACACACATACCATTGCCATTCCGAAAACATAACCTTCTTGTCAAAGGTAACTAGTAAGTGTGTATTTAAGAGTGAGAGGGTCATACGAGTGGGACTTTACTATGGTTGGGAGGTCATTTACCTACAAGTTCAAGAGAAGGGGACAACCCTGTCTAGTATATGGAGGTGTTTGTTCAGTAAATTACATAAGCGTACACCTCAACACATAGCCTAGATCTAGTTCGATACAGCCAAATATGCAAGGATAAAAAAAAAACAATTTCACATGCGGATGGTAAAGCAAACTATTATTCTTGCAATTTGCTATGAAGGCTTTTTCTAAGCCACGGGTGCCAGTTGAAATCCACATTGTGTCTATAATGTTATGTACCGTCTGAAATGACGGATTCCATGTACACTACAAGCTGTCAAGCAGTCAATTCTTTCCTTTCCTTTACAAATATCATTGAACTCTCAAACATAGTAGGAAAGTCTATTGCATAACACAAACGGCCCTAACAGACTATTCTGTTGTATGAGTTCGTCCTAAGTTTTTATTTATTTATTCACATATATTTATCTGTATCGGTATAGCAGGTATAACCGCCCTTCGGCGTAACACACCAGCTTATATTTTATTGAGTATTGGGCAAAAAGCAAACGTTGCTTATATAACACCTTCTACTCATAAACATACAACGAGTATAAAACACATTGACATGCATAATTACAAGGTGGATAAAACCAAGATAAATACAAATAAGACAAGTTGGTGATCTATCAATTACGAGAATCTACCCGTACAGTAAATGAAGTTTTGAACCAGATCGAAAACATTACAGTTTTGTAGGTGTGAAAGTGATGATTGTGGACCCTCGAAGTAGTAAGGAACATATTAGAGAACTGTCATTGAGATGCTGTAGCTCTACTATGTTGGAGAGAGATGATAACAGAGTACTTCTTCGACTGGAATAAAGTTTACAATGTAGAAAGTAGTGTTCAGTTGTTTCACTACGATAGGTATTTACTTGTAGGTAGTGACCGGTAGTCAATACAATAATGTTGAAATAGATGGTAGTGTAAAGCTGCGGTCACAACCCGCCGAACGTGCTTTTTGTCCGTACGTTTTTTGGGAGGCTACGTCTGCTACGTTTTTTCTGAAACCGTGGGGAAGGAGTGGCATCGACGCACGCCACTCGCACGTCACTCGCACGGTTGCGCAAAGTGTAAGAGTGTGGTCTGCATGCCAAGTCTGGCCGTAATTGCAACTTTACCGTAAGGAGGCCGTACTCACACGTGCTTCTTCCGCGCGGCACGTACGGGGCACGCGCGTCGCTCGTACTCGCACGCACGGGTGGTGAATCCGCAGACCGCACGTAGAAAAAGTTTTACATGCACTTAAAGTTCTACTATACGGCGTGTCTGCGTGCTCCCAAATCCGTAGGATTACGTACGGAGGTGGTACTCACCACGCACGGATGCCCTACGTTTGCCCACGTTTTTGCACGTAGACAGCACGCAGAAGCACGTACGGCGGGTTGTGACCGTAGCTTAACTGACTGAAATTAAGACGGAGCCTTGTGTGATGAACAGCGGAGTGTCTTTGGCCATGACAGAAATGGAAGTGTTTTGTCGGTCTGTTGAATAGTGAATCCAACACATTTTTAAAGATGTTAAGTCCTTAGTTGTCAGAGTTGTTCATCAGACAGTCCGTTAGCCATGACTATATAGTCCAGTAGTTTTCTGTACTGCTCCAGGTTGTCCATGAAGCTGGGTATCCTGGTGCCGTCAGCCTGCATGTGTTCCTGCAGTCTCCCCATGTCCTGCCAGGACACTTTACCCATGCGCATCAACTTGTGGAAGTCGATGTCTTTTCTGTACCTCAGGATCTCCAGGGCGCCTTCTAGATACACCTGGTCCTTACAGAAACAACCTGTTTCAAGAAACAACAAGAAATATGCAAAAGTGTTAATAAACTTTATTGTACATTCATGCCCTATCGGGCTAAGTACAGGTGAACAGATGAAATGGGTAATATACATGTTTGTAATACAAACAGCTCTTAAACTACACTAATACAGAGGTTCGGCTTCTTCTCGTTTCTTTGTGATGTTAAAAATATAATTTGAAATGGGTTTGTTTAATACAGGATGATCAAAGCGCATAAGAAAGATAACTTTTTCATAGCAATATATCAACTGTGACACACAGACCCTGTCCTGGTCATAACGGAAAAATATTAGTCGATCACTTTGTTTGTATAGTGCCTTTAATGTGAATTCTAGTTCAATGTTTTTGCTTATAATGTTATAATCCAGGGACAGGGTTAGGTTTTTCAAGACAATATTCAAAACAGTAATATGGAACCGTCTGTTGTATAGAAATCGAGGTGGACAAAAGTGATAATGTCCACAGATAAAAATACAATTGACATATCGTAATGAATGAATGAACGATCTTAATTGCATGTTGTTTCCAACATGGGCTAAATGCAATAGTCATACTATTGGAACAGAGGCTAAAGTTAAAGTATCATGACCTGTAGTGTTGATAGTTAAAACAAGGGTTAGACTAATCCAAGCATATAAACCTTGTCACCATTGCGTATCAATGGAAATAAAACGAGCGGTTTTGAAATTTTGATACAATAGAATGACTTTTGGAAACGTTTATTTCAGACAGAGAAAATGACACTGACTACCAGGCCATGTTAACTATTACTATCATGAAAGTTCATCTGTGTTGGTAGTTACATGTTTAAAGTTAAAAGTTTTGGTCCAACACAAAAAATTCTCTCACCTAGAGCTTTCGACCAGTCACACTGGGTCAGTCTACTGAGGAAGACCAGAGTGACTGGTCGAAAGCTCTAGGTGAGAGAATTTTTTGTGTTGAACCAAAAGTTTTAACTTTAAACATGTTCACTATTGATTAAACTGCCGCTTACCTGGCAGAGAAGTGTCTATCTGTCCACGTTTGGCCCTGAGCACATAGTCCCAGCGTACATACGGGTCCCGGACAAACCTGCCCAGGTCTTTGAACAGGTTAGAGAAGGACATCTGAGAAGCCCTGTAGGCCGTGTAGTACAGGAGAGCGGCCCGCCACAGGAAGGGATGCCGGCGGTACAGGACACTGTGCAGGCTGGCCAGGCCCTCCTCGGTAGGGTTGACGCTGAGAAGCCCGTATTGCCGCCGACCCTTCCCACCATGCCACGGCTGGAGTCTGTTGTTATAGCTCCGGAGGTAGTGAGTCCCTTCATGGAGAGACACAAGACAAACATGTCATCTTCCTCCCGGGCACGTAGATATCATCCAGTAAGACATAGTTTGTTGTAATGTACAGACTTTAGTACACTCAGACCATCTACCAGTACATTGTCCAGATCCATGATTTGTGCCGTATGTACATGTATTTTAACTTAAAAGTTTAAAAAGTCTGAGCAAAGTCTTTCACAAAAGCCCATTCTCCGTTAACGGGAAAATTGCTGCCGCGTGTTTAACCCTACCTAGACCGGGGGGGGGGGGGCTAAAAGTGCCCGCGGCAACTTTGATGTCACCTAGCGTCTGAACGACTAGCCGTAGAACGGCCAAACTTGGTGACTTTTCCTAGAATATTGTTGGCAACAATTCTCTATCATTGGAATAAGATAATAATTTTTTGTGTTGCCATGGCAACGGGTTTCTGACAGGCATTTTTTGCTAAATTTAGTACTTTTTGTTTCAACAATAGAATTTTATGGGTTTTATGTCAAGTTACTCATGGTTTCTAATATTAATAACATCCCATATAATTTTATGTAAATTTTATCATTAAATATGCATAATTTATGCTAATTTGATGACGTCATTGGCCAAAATCCAAGATGGCGGACCATATCATTAGAACAGGTATATACGGGTTATTTTCATTAAAATTTCATCAATACTTCCATTTCTTTTTACAAAAAAGGTTTGAATGAAGGTGTTTAGTATGTTTACAATGTATTTTAGGCTTTATCATGAAAAAAAACTATTTTTGAAAATTCAAGATTGATGATCCAAGATGGCGGATATCTTAAATATGCATGACGTCATTTTATGACGTCACCGGTGTTGCTATGGGCAACATAAGACTTAGTACACCATAATATTCTGTCATAAACACTTTTGGTACAGTTATGTTGAAAACCATTTAGTTTTCAGGGAAAAACCTATTTAGACGGTTTTGGCCAATAAAATCACATTAATGACGTCATAATGACGTCATATTACATCATAAAAATTGTAGATATGATAAATTTTCACTAGTACACCATTCTCTGAAAATTTGGTGGTCATACGACATACCGTTCGCGAGTTCTTAGGGGGGGTCAAAAGAGCCCCCCCCCGGTCCCCCCATGTCAAAAAAAGCCCGGTCTAGGTAGGGTTAAAAGACAAAATGACTACGTGTGTTTCCCCTTATCATAACATGGTAGCAATTTGCGAAATCATGATTTCGGCAGCATTGTTGGGCTGTACCTATCTCGTGTCTTGCCACGCCCTCCAGCCAGAACTGGCGGGAAGTGTTGACGTTGATGTTGAGTGTAGGTCTGCCCCGACTCTGCGTCATGGAGGCGCGCGACAACAGGTCGTCTGACAGGTTTATCATCACCTGGAAGAAAAACGTACTATTATCAGCGTCTAACATCTGTGTCCATAATATCACCAGGGTCCATAATATCGTCACCTTGAGAAATAGTGTGCTTAAAGATATTTTTACTGCAACATACCCTAGGTATGTACATTTGATGTGTGAAGGAGTGCAAAAGTATGTTGCAGGAAAAATATCTTTAAGCACACTGTTTCTCAATGTGACGATATTATGGACCCTGGTGATATTATGGACACA